GATTTTCGTACGACGGCCCCATCCTGCCCCGATTATCGAAAGGTTCAATCAGCGATAGTTTTAAAAAAAACACCTGGACGACTTGTGGTAATTGACCGCAATCATTTTCGTTTGCGCATGCGCAGTGTTAATCATACGACTTTTGGCGGACGGAAACGCCACCAACCATGCGAACATCGTACGATCGACCAGAGTTTTCAAACATGCTTGACCGTCAAAAGTCGTACGATCGTACAGTACTATCGGTCGGGCACTCTATTCACACGTTACGATTGTCGTACGAAAAGTCGATCGCATACGATTATCGTACAATAATCGTAAGGTGTATGGGCACCTTTAGAGTATTTTCCCAGTTGTAGAAAGTACTGGTTCAGTAAGATGTTTTTTTTTAAATATACATAGTTTTTACTGGGCAATTTAATCAAACACCTTTGTGGGTTACAAGAAAACTGCGGTTTAATCTCTGAGCACTATGGGTAGAGTTAGCTTTAGAGAGTCTTAAAGATCTTTTGAGGGAAAAAAAAAAGCGAAGAACATTGACATCTCTCTTCTGAATAGTGTTCCTCCTCATATGCTGTATCATGATTGATAATTAAACTCCCTTGTCACCTTTTATTCGTGACGTGACTGAATAGCGCACCTCAATATATGGCATAAACAGTGTTTATAGATGCAGGGGAGGAACACAACGACTTTTCCCAACTCAACTTAAGCTATCATAGAGGATGAGGTACAGGGGGTGCTGAGCTAGATAAACTATATTCCTTTGGGTGACAGTGAGGGCAGAAGACCTTTTCTTTCTCATATTTCAGCATATTCAATGAGTGAAGAATTTCCCCATCAAGCACTGTAGGCAGACTGACAATCCTCATAATGCATTTTGTCTATTCACTTTCTATGACAAAATGGCTGTCTTAATTTTGTGTATGCCACAACAGACTGAAAATGGTTGGGTGTGTAAGCTGTGTAAACCTCTTGACATAGTGTGAGAATTTGATACAACAGAAATGAATGATAGAATTACATAATTCTTTATCACACCATACATTTAAAGCAGCAGTCCTTTTCCACCAACACAAAAGATTCTCTCAGCATGAAATGGGAGCTCAATCTCCCAGTACTTAAAGCGTGCAGCCTCTGCCAATCTCGAGGAACACGTGTAAAGAAAGAATAACTGTCATACTCCCTACAGCTACAAATATAAGTTTTATTTAGCTAGGAGAAAATTGATGTCACCTGTAGCCACCTACATGTTTTGTTCCAGAAGTATCACGTGGAAATAGCACCACTTTCTGGATATGGGCCGTGTGCTGGGTGGAAAGCCTTGGCTGAGACGTGTAACAGCCTGCATGACAGATTCCTTTTAGGACCGCTATACGTTCTCTCAGACAACTGTTTCCACATTTCTAAAAGGTGCCCATACACCTTACAATTATCTGCAGATTTTCTGGGGTCAGAGGGAAAAAGTGCAACAGATTGGCCCAGGTGGAGATTACTCCATCCACACAGTTAAGTGTAGATGGAGGAATCTGTTGCACCTTTTCCATCTGACCACAGAAAATCTGCAGATCATTGTAAGGTGTATGGCCAGCTTTACATTTCCTCCTTTTTTCTCAACTGTCTTGTAACTGGCTGTGTCATCTGAAAGGGCAACAGAGACAACCAATCACAAATGTGACAAAAGAAATCCAGTTCTCTCAGCGGCACACTGTAAGCCGTTTTCATTGGCAACTTCCACCTTTTAAGGCGACAACTTAGTGGCAAGAAAAAAAGAAATCTGCACCTGGATGCACTAACGCAACTAAAGGTTCTAGGGCAGGTCAACAGTATCCTGCTCACCGTCTCATGGGGAAAAAGGTCATTGGGGAGGATATTTTATTCATATATACAGTGTATGTGTATTTTGTGTAATATATATATATAATTTTTTTTTTATTAGGGATGCACCGATACCGGTTTTCGGTATCGAGTACAAATAACGATATTTTTTTCCCCCGGTACTCACCGATACCGGGAGTCCCCATTACGGAAGCCAGGCGGCGTGTAATGACTCGCCACCTGGCTTCCTGATTAGCAGGGAAGTCGTCTCCATGCTTCTCGTCACTAGATGACGTGAAAGCATGGAGCCGGCTTCCTGATTGGCCAGGAAGCCGGCTCTCATGACGCAGGAGCATGAAGCCGGCTTACCTGCCAATCAGGGAGCCAGGCGCCGCGTCATTACACGGCACTTGGCATCCTGATTGGCCAGCTTCCGAACCAGTCAGGAAACCGGGCAGCGAGTCATTACATGCTGTCCGGCTTCCTCATTGGCCTGAAAGCCAGCTCCATTCTCCCTTGTGACGCTGCCCTGCTTCCCGATACCGGAAGCTCGGGTATTGGGCTAGGCATCGGTGCATTTGGACGAGCATTTGCCCAAATGCTCGGCATCTATACTAGTATCGGTACATCCCTAAGTGGCCTGCCTACTGACACCAGTTCCTGTACTTGTCTCCTGTTCTGTGCATTCACTGGTGGGGCAGATTCATGCACCCAGCTAAATAATAAAATACAAAGGAGGTTTAACATAGCTCTGCTGTAACTTTTCACACCCCGTGTAACATTTCAAATGTGGTGAAGAGGAGACAACTTCACTATGACTTCCCATGGCCACGAATGACACTTTATATATTTCACAGTGAGCTCTCCAGAGTTAGAATTTGGGTCACCTGACACTTACAGATCTGTCCCATTACCTGAGATATTTCTAGACCCCACATCAGTAAACCAGAAACCAATGTTTCTCCAGCACTGTAAGCAAGAAACATATTTTTAGATTTGCATTGTGACATATATATATATATATATTTCTAAATGTTGATATATTTAACATTAAATAATTTTATAACGATGCAGAAGCCTAAATATGGTTTCTTTATATTATCTCTCTTTTATGTTCCTACTCTATGCGAGTCAAGGCTCAGATGCAGAGAATATTCTACATATATAGCAAAGTAAACATGAATGACATTTAGCTTAAACTTTTTTTCAAGCACATA